CAATATGCAGAGTCCAGCATTCTCCCTGCCTGGATAAATCATTTCCCACACCTGGCGAATAAGTAATAGATTTAAAGCACAGAAGCAGGCAGTATGTTTATGTGCCTTTATATTATATAAAGTAAATTACCTATTAATCACCTATCTTCAGTAAAAGCTAAATAACCAATAACCTATTTTTAGCATGGACACAGACAAAAAAAGCAATAACATATTTTTAGTAGTAGTGAAGAGATAGAACTTATAACAATTGTTTATTGCTGTTTGAGCCTTACTATCCTGACAATACCAAATACCGCCCCCGCACACACACACACACCTCAATCCATACTCCATTTATTGTACAAGCCTCACAGATACAGGAAGTAAGTGAAAATCACCTCAATATATTTTGCCAAAACTTTACACCCAGAGTACTTAGGCCTCCTAAGTTGTCATGCTCTTAAGCAGACCCAGTTTTAAACTCAAATCAAGGCTTTACAACCCTTTTATTATTAGTAGTATTACACAAATAGACATTTGTACATATAAAATATTAATATATTGTAAATTTACATTTCTACTCACCAAGAGGAGCTCCAGGCTCCTTTCCTCAACAGGAAATATAGTTCTTCCCCACTCTACAGGAAAAATATAGTTCTTCCCCACTCTATCCAAAACTTAAAAAAAACAAAAAAAAAAACACATTAGCAGGAGTTAGGCTTTAAAGTTACACTAACACAAAATTATTTACTGTGACTCATGAAAGCTTTTTTACTTGGTAAGAAAATACCACTGCCAATCCCATCTGCTTCATTCAGGTAAAGGTAATGTGGGGAATACTGCTTCACAATAAAATGTAATTGCATATTTTTGATGTGTCTTTTTATTACACATCTCAGATAATAATTGTATACAACAGGTGAGCTACAAACATTGAAAATCACGATTATTGTTCATCTGTCTATCTAAAACTCATATTGACAAAAAAAAGCAAAAAATACATACTGCACATTTATTAAAGGGTAGAATGAGTTAAAGTGAACCTATTTAAAGTGGTTGTAATCCCTTACATACACCCACTGAAGTTAATAGCCCCATGTGATACACAGAGATTAAACAAATTCCCCTACATAAGTTGTAGTTCATTATCTGCAGCCCTCTCTTCTCTACAGTCTTCCAAAAGACACAGTTACACGACTTCTCCCAGCAGCAGAAATCAGGGAACAGGGTTCTGATGTCACTCACACTGCAGAGCTAGAGCACAGAGCTCCATGAATTCTGATAGCTGATTGTAGAGAAGGAACACACCCCCTCTACACAGGCTCATAGAAAAAAAACCCATAGCTAAGGGTATGAGTCACCTGCTGTATGCTGAAAAAGGATCGGCTGTTTCCCGGGAGGCTGAGGTTTGGGCTTACAGTTCTATCAGTGACTCATGCAAACAGCAGAGAGAGATGAAATCAATGAAGAACCAAACTTGGTGCTTTGTATTCAGCTTAGTACACACTATAAAGGATTGCACTTTGTTCATTTTTTGTGTATGTTTTTTTAAAGTTTTGCTTTAGATAGGGAAGGCTTAAAACCCCTATCAGGTTTTCTTTTATTTATTGATTCCTATTGGAGACATTCCCCTTTACTTGTCTTTGAGATACAACTGAAAAATGAAGATAATTTCCCACTTAGTGAGCCTTTAACAGTACATATGTTTCCATTGTAAGACCTCCTGTTCAAGTAATAACCATAAAATGTTGGATTTTCCCCTTATTTTTTGTCCCAATGACATATATCACCAGGATAAAGAGATAGGGTACATCTCCATTAGCAGGACACAGACAGCAATTGAAAATCTGAAAGCGGTCTTAACCCTTCCCCACTTTATCCACAAATACATTTAAGTTTTGGCTATAGCTATAGATTCAATGGTTGGATAAAAACGGGGCTTCTACTTTACATGATTGCATGTCTGAGAGTATTACAGGTTCATTTTAATTCACTCAAATAATACTTTGGCAATTTGTGTGCAACCTGTCTACAGTTTTCCCATTGTAACAAACTTAGGTACAAAGGATATAACATGTCATAAAAGAGGTGCTGGTTAAGGCTGAACTCCTGGCTAAACAAGTATTGTCTAAATATATGAGACATGCATATTCTTACAATCATATTGACCTTTGTGTACTTTTTCCAGATCTGCTTCCAGAAAGCAGTACTTAGGAGGAGGTGGAGCAGAAGTGCTGTTTTCTTTCTGAATGATGGGGGGTATTTCTAATTAGATTTGAAAGAAATTTTGGATGGGAAAGTTAGGAATTCCAAGAAATGCCAGTTAACTAGAGCTTTTTCTTGGTACCTGAGATCAAGTTGTGCCATGGTAAAAAAAAAAAAGCCTCAGGACGGGGCCTGTATGCGCTATATGTATTTCAGTGATATCACTTCAAGTCTGGCCTGAGTATACCTTTAAGCTTAGATGTCATTATATACAACACCATCAGACCCATACTAATGCCTTATAGTAAAGCTCAATCATATTCACATCAGTTATTGGGAAATAGAATATTAAATACAGTTGGAACCCAGATGAAACAGAGGTAGTTTCAACTTTGCGTTAAATTAGTTCCCTAGTGTAAAACCAGGTAAAAAAGTAACAGTATCTAGTGTTTCACTGTGCATGAAAAGAAAATGCAAGCAAAGAAAATACAAACTGAATTATAAAATCTCTGCTTGACTAGACTGAAATGTTTCATAGATATTTTAGCAGTGTAACAAACTGATCTAATTGGTCACAGTCTAGAAAGTAGGGTTCAACAAGGACTCCGCAAGATTAATCATGGTGTTAAGAGATGAAATTAAATATCAAGAATACACATTGTATGCTTTCTGTACTAAAGCAGCAGACATTTCTAACACAGATTTTAATACATCCTAACATTTAGGGACACATACACTTCAGCTAATTTCTATCTGCAACTTTATTTCTGGGGGTGGGCTTTGAGAAATGTGTTTTCAAGGAAAAGTGATTAAATATTGATAAACTTTTAAAACTTTTACATGAAAAGCTGTTGCATGGCAGACCCTATGTCAGCAGCATATAAACCCTTACAATTAGTAACATAAAGATTTCAGCTTAAAGGACAATGTAACAGGAAAGTGATAGATTGATAGTTTGCCATGGCAATGTGAGAGCATTGTTTAGCCGGTAGTATATGTCATACAACAGTAATCAGCAGTATACAGTCCCTCCATTAGAAAATCAGTAGTGCAATACCAACAGGCAGAGTGACAAAGTGACCTTTCCACCTACCCTGCACCTTTTCCCTCTTCCATTATTTCACAATGACCCTGTGCCCAAACATTATACCTAGAGTACCTCACACAGGAGCAAAACAGATGTACTCCCAAATGAGGTCTCTTCATCTGCCTTTCTGTTAAAACAGCCCTCTTTTGACCTCTGGTCAAAGGCTTTCTAAATCCATTATTCGCATACACACATAAGCATACACAATGATACATATAAACATATAAATATTTTTAATATTTACATTTCTACTGGCCAAGAGGTGCTCCAGGCTTCCTTTAACATATTTACAATGGTGACCTTCGCTAACAAAATGTGCCTATTGGTCACTGAGCTCAACAACTAAATCTTAAATTTGGACACTCGACTAAGAAGAGGCTCAAACTCTTCCTGCCCAATTCTCTCCTATGACTTATGGTTTTGTACAGCTGCATATACAATTTTTTATTCAATATTTTTATTCAGAATAATGAACAGAGAAAATTATAATGATCAGTCATGTTTTAAGTGTAGTTATATAAAACAAACATAATTAGAAGTACAATACAAGGGTGAAGGCAACATAATGGTAGGTACAAATTGCAGCATAAAAATAAACCATAACTCGATTTATATACAGTAAGTAAGGGCCCCATGGCATACAGGGACAATCATATTTAATGCTCCACATTAACAAAAATTAAAAAACAGCCTAGTTAGCCTACTTAAGGCAATGACATTATTGGAGGAAAGCAAAAGCAAGAGAGCAGAAAGGAAAAAGAGGAGAAAGTCAGGGGACTCTGGTACAATGGTCAAGGAACAAGCCGGCATGAGCCATTGATGGATAAAAAACTGAATATGCAGTCAAGTTTCCAGTAAGAATTGGTCAAAATCTCATGGTAAATAGTGGTCCACCCATGGCTGTCATGCTTTCAAGTGTTTGGGGATATGATCCAGTATTGTGGCCTCAATTGTGCTGTGAATCATATCATAAAGCATGTAATTCTGTGTTTTGTCTCAAGAAAGCAGAGGTTAGGTGTTTTCCACTCCTTAGCAATAGCTTGTTTTGCTGCAGTGATGACATATAACAACATTTTATGTTGTGATGCATATAGGTCAGGTGGGCATTTGTTCAGAAGGGCTAAAGTAGGGTCAGGGGTGAGGGACATCGCAGGAAGCATAGACAGTGTACAAAATATCTCAACCCTGAAGGCTGCCACAATTATGGTGAGACCACCTGATTTGCAAATGGGTGCCTTTATCTGTGCAACCTCAAAAGCATTGTGGAGAATAGGAAGGTAGGATTTTATGAATTCTCGCGAGCACTAAATACTATCTAATGAGAACTTTATAATTTGTCTCTAGGGCCAATACATTCACCCCTGAAGATTTAGTAGTTTGCCATATGGCATTCCAATCTTCTGGGTCGAGCAGAACATCAAGGTCAGAGGCCTAACGAGAGGCATATAGAGGTAGCACAGTTGTGGAAGGGGAAGAAAGATAGAGATACAGTTTAGAAATTAGGAGCTCTGGGATCAGAAAAGCAGATATGTTTAAATAGGGTTTGCAACTGTAAGTTAGAGTAGCCTTTAACCGCCTCCCGCCCACCAAGGAAATGACAGGCGCAAGACGGTTCTCTCGTGGGAGGACGTCATATGATGTCCTCCCACTCTAACCGCGCGTGTTCGGCTCTGGGAGCATGCAGTGCTGCGATCGATGGTGCACTGTGGCCCTTGGACACAGCGGATCACCGATCAACAGAAAGAGCCGAAGACATTGGCTCGGTCATGTGATCAGCTGTGTCCAATCACAGCTGATCGCATGTAAATAGGGAAATGCTGGTTATCAGCATTTCTCTCCTGATGAGCTGTCATGCTGACAGCTCGTGAGGAGAGGAGAGCCAGTAACTGGCATTCCTCAGAGGGGACATGTACACACTGATCATCAGGGCACTGATGATCAGTGTAGCTCCAGCAGTGCCACCTGTCAGTATCCATCAATGCCAGCTGTCAGTGCTCATCAATGCCACCTGCCAGTGCCCATCAGTGCCTCATCAATGCCACATATCAGTGCCTACCAGTGCACATCAATGCCACATATCAGTGCCCATTTGAGCTGCCTTTCAGTGTCACCTATCAGTGTCAGTCAGTGCTGTCACGACTGCAAGATCGCTGCCACCAACATGCGACGATCCCAGGATCGCGACATCCAATATGTGACAACCGCGGCGTCCGACCCCAGCCCTTCTCACCGAACTCGTGACTGAAGGACTAGCCAATCTAAAACCGCAATGTCACGTGCGTAACAATGCCACACCCAGCTGCACCCTGCACAACGATTTTCCATCTAATGGACCACAGATCGATGTACCGGCAGCCTGTGCGATTGTTACTGGGTCAGGTTAATTACGCAATTAACCCTTCACACTGCCACCATCTCCTTTTTGTCAGAGAGGAAACTCGGCGATCTCAGCTAAAACACTATAATGATTGAAATAATCATCTGCATAACATGGTCATAACACAGGCCAGTTGTACAGAGGGTTAAAACAAACAGTTGCGTTCTCTTTAGCGGCAGGGATTCGTAAATTGCAATACAGAGCTATAGAAACAGTTCAACACTTTCAGAAAGAAAGATTTATTACTAACGGGTGCAATAAAAATATTTACAGAAAAAAGATGTAACTAAGATATACAGTATATATATAATCATACAGAGAATAACAGCACAGCAAAGAGATAACAGAGAGAGGTTAAAGGGTTAAGGTACTTGCCATTAAGCCTTGGATGTAAGCAGATCAAGTTTCTGAGCAGAAGGGGCACGGGTCTCCCCAGGTGGTATCGATGTTAAAAATGGGAGATGTCTTCAACTTCCCTTTCTTAAGCCTGACAGCCTATTTTGTAGTCCCCAGCAGGGGGTGGCTCTGAAAGTCAAGAACCAAGAACCGCTTAGGGCGTGGAGATATGGTTGGATGCCTCAACTAGAGCAAAAATCTCCCATAAATCATATTTTGGCCTATAACTTTCTATCTGCACAAGTGACATTCCACCTGCGGGTAGATTTTTATGCAGACAAGTCTGGGGATTGATTAGATATGAATTATGAAAGTGTACACTGAACGGTTCAGGAGATCTATTTTTCTGCTTTCCTGTGTGTCTGAGACAAGGTGAGTGACCCATCAAATTGTTCGCCTGCTCATCATCCATCTGGCGATCTGTCCGGTTTTTATGTAAGTGTCCCATATTCCAAGATATGAGACATAGGGGAAACATGGATTTTGAGAAGTGTTAGCTGATTCTGTCACCTATGCTGAGTAGGTTCATTAGGTCGGGATCTCTTTCAACTCTTGGGGAAGCTTGCCTTATTTCTTCCGAGGTGTGAAATGGCACAGGTTCTAGGACAGCTAGGCCCCGCCTCCCTGGGGGGCCTTTATAGCTCCTATGACCCTCCTGTGACATTTTTTAACACACACATACACTGTCACTGTGCCTCTCAGAGTGAGGATGGAGGGAGAATGAGGGGAGAAAATGGAGATTCTTAACAAAATGGCAGACTGCGACAGTCTCTGTTGTGTACGTTTGTGACAAGTGCCACCTATCAACGCTAGTCAGTGCCACCTATCAGTGGTGCCAATCAATGCCACCTATCAGTGCCAGTCAGTGCTGCCTATCAGTGCGCATCAGTGCCGCCTATCAGTGCCCATCAGTGCCTCCAAACAGTGCCAGTCAGTGCCACCTACCAGTGCCAGTCAGTGCCGCTTATCAGTGTCACCTGTCACTGCCATATATGAGTGCTGCCTTTCAGTGCCCATCATCAATGCAGTGCCTCCTCAACAGTATCATGCAGCCTATCAGTACCCATCACTGCAGCCTCATTAGCGCACATCAGTGAAGAAGAAAAATCACTTATTTACACCAAAAAATGTTAACAAATTTTTCAGTTGTTTTTGGTTTGTTTAGCAAAAAATAAAAAACCCAGAGGTGATTAAATACTACCAAAATAAAGCTCTATCTGTCTAAATAAATTGAAAAAAATTTCTTATGAGTACAGTGTTGCATGACCATGCAATTGTCATTCAAATTGTGACAGTGCTGAAAGCTGAAAATTGGCCTGGACAGGAAGGGGGTATAAGTGCCCAATAGGCAAGCGGTTAATATAGGAAAAAAATTATTAATGTGAAGTTAGCGAAAAATCTTTGAATTTGGTCATTTGTATCATTCTTGGAGAGAGGAAAAGGTAGAGAGGGAGGTGGCAGCAACCAGGTGACACAGCTGGGTAATACTAAGTGACTTTCAATGACGAAATGAGACTGGGGCTATGGTGGCCGGGTAGAATGATGGGTGTCACAAAAGGGATAAAAGGACATTGTGAAGGGACTGTAGACGGCATGAAATGTTTAATCTGTCCCATAGTGACAAATAATGGTGTGTGATGGGATTAGTTACCTATTTACGTTCTCTGGGACTAATACGAAAAAGGTTGTAGTTGGCAAGGGGGTTACAGTCAGCAGCTTCCAAACTCATAAGGGGACTTCTTCTATTGTGTGGTATTGAGCAAAATGTGTCAATTGGGCAGCATAGCAATATTTTGCAAGGTTCTGTAATCTCAAGACACCTTGCAGTTTTGAGCACATCAGGACCACTTTAGCTAAGCAGGATTTCATAGACCCCCATATAAACCCCCCAACTCAATGTTGTAAATAGTAAGGTAGTACTGCCACCGGAAGTACTTGGAACAAGTACAATATTTAGGGGAGAAAGTTCACCATCATTATACCCCCCATCCAGAATATGTGCAAGGAAGACCAATGGGTCAGAAGCAAGGTTAACTGGCCAGTATCGCTGGATAGTTAGCCTGAAAAGTCCAGAGGGGTGGGAAGTGAGTTTGATACCCTAGTAGGAGAGATAGTGGATGCTCCATTTAAAGGAGAAATCTGATCTCAATTGCGGTAGGGTTGTGGTGTCAAGAGTTATATTTAAAGCATGAGATTTTTGTTGATTCACCTTCAAGCCAGAGATGGCTGTGGAACATTACAAAGTGTGGAATAAGTTGGCCTTTGAGGTGAGAGGTGCAGTGAGAAATAGTAAAATATCATCCGCAAATAAGCTAAGCTTATGTTGATTGCCTGCCACATCAAAGCCCCTTATATCTGGGTTGGAATGAATTTAAACTACCAGGGTCTCTAAAGTGAGAGGGAACAGGAGAGAAAAAAGGGAGCACCCTGGTATTGTTCCCCTAGCTATGTGAAATCTGTTTGACTTATAACTTGTGTATTTAACATAGGCCTGGGTTTTCAAGTAAAGGGAGAGTATCCATCCTAGAAAATTAGGACTAAAACCCTACCATTCTAAAACATACTGCAGATGCAACCACAAAAGTGTATCAAAGGGCTTATGTATATCGAGTGAAAAGAAATACACAGGTATACAGTGGCGATGTGCTGAAGAAGCTGGAAGGGAGGCTCTACAAACATCAGCAGCTTGTCAGTGAAGGATGAAGATTACCTGTTCTTTAGCTGTTAGATTACCAATAATAGGGTTTAAACGTTTTGAAAGAATTTTACCTAACAACTTAATATCAAGATTAAGTAGAGAAACAGCTCTATAAATAGACCAAGTGGAGTTGTCAGCGTGGGGTTTGGGTATCATAGCAATAATGGCAGTAAGGGTTTCAGAATGGAACAAGTTATGATCAAGCAGAGCATCAAAGGAATTAGCCAAAAATGGGGCTAGAAAATCTGCAAAATTTTTGTAATAAGAAGCCGTCAGGCCTTCAGGCCCTGGGTGTTTATGGGGCTTCAAAGATTTAATAACTGCTAAAATCTCATCTATGGAAATTGGGGAGTCCAGAGAGTCATGTAACTCAGGTTTAAGAGTTGATATTAGAAGACCCTCAAAGATAGTATCTAGAAGGAGTTGAAGAAAGAGGAGAGGGTTGCTGGTGTATACATCTTTAGAGAGCTTTAAGTGTATTGGTTTTCTATCTGCATCAAGTTGATGTAAATACAAGACAAGGAGAGTGTCAGGTTTGTTAGCTTTCATATAGTGTTTGTGACAAGATCTCCTGAGCATTTTTTCGGCAGATTCTGCCAGCAAAAGGTCTAGTTCAATACTAGTCTTTTCCAGCCTGAGTTTATTTGATTGCATAGGTTGCACTTGAAACTGGATTAAATCAGCTTGAAAATCTCGCTTTAGTTGTCTTTGTCGAGCAAGTTTATCTCCTTTAAGCTGGGAAGCTATTTCATAGCCTCTAATAATAGGCTTATGGGCCTCCCAGAGTGTAACAGGAGACAACCCTGGAGTGGCACTGTGAAGAAGGTATTCTCGCAAAGCTAGCTGAGTGTCAATACAGGAGGATGTATTAGATATATGGGATTCATTTAATGACCAAGCCATATCAGTAGTTCTAGAAATCAACGAGGAGAGTGTAGTGATAACTACTTAATGGTCAGACCAGGAAATTGATTTCATAGTGGAGCGTAAAGGTATGGAGGCTACCGACAACATAATGTGACCAATACGTGTGAAAGAATAGTGAGGGTAAGAATAATTAGTATAAACGGTGCACTGGGTTACATTATCACCAGGAATCAGCTAGAGTGAAGGGAGTGAAATGTCAATGAGGGATCATAAGAAGCTGTGTTATAGAGGGATTTGTCAAGATGCAAAAGTATCACCTGGCTAGAATCCCCACAAAGAATTAGAGTACCCTTCTTATGGGCACGGATAACCTGTAAGAGATGAGAAAAAAAGATTAGGATTGAAGTTGGGGGCATAATAAAAGACCAGTGTGACATCAACATCCTGCAGATGACACACCAAAAGAAGATATCAACCTTCAGGGTCTGAAGTTTCAGTTATGAGAACAAACGGGGGTTGCATGGTAGAAAGCCAAAAGTACACTTCATTTCTCAGTTTGGGCACAAGATAAGTAAACTTGAGAGTAGGAGAGCAGGAGAATTAAGGACCCTAACATTAAGAGACCACATATTCAAGGGAGCCATAGCAACATAGTGCAAGGTATTATTAGCCAGGCCTGTACCTTGACCAAACCACCAGAAACTCTGGGGGGAATAAGTAAAAGGAAATGAAAAGTGATAAAACAGAAGTGAAAGAGAAAAGGGAACAAAAAAGTGCATACAAAATGAAAAGGACAGGGCTAAATATCTGCGCTTGAATACCCAGAAATACCTATCCATCTACAGGACCACACATACTGGTC